CTACGCAACCCAAGGTCAAACTGATGTGATCAGTAAATACATCTTTTTAAACGCCACAACTTTTATCTGAAACATTTTTTTCTAAAATGCTTAGTTTTCGAGATATTTCACCGGTCCGGGACTTTTTGAACACCCTGTATAATCGTATATACAGGGTGTCCCATTTTAAAAGATCTACCTTCATAATTCTTTAGCCAAATATATTCAGCAAAAATGTTTCAGACAAAAGTTGTCAGGTTCAGAAGAGGACATCTGAAGGTGATCTTGACTTTGACCTGGAGGTTATTCTGAACGTTATTAAAAAATCACCTTTGCTTTTTAAATAGAAACATTTATTTTTTTTCTTACGGAATTTTATTCTACGTAAAGAAACTAACAATTTTTGTTTGAAAACATTTTTTATACGACCTCCATTTTCTAAGATATTTACGGAAATATCTACAAAATTATTGGTTTCAATAATTTTTTACTCGAATTCTATCAATTTTACCGAAAAATGGTAAGAGATAAAAATTGTTTATTTTCTTCCCATAGAGCTCCGATAATTTTTTTAGAATTTTTTGTAAACTTTTTAGTACTTTAAGAAAATGCAAGAAAATGCAGTAAAAGAAGTTAACTCGGAAAAAATACTGTTGCATGAAGAAAGGAAGAAATAGTTCGATTCCATTAAACGTCGACACCATGAATAGCTAAAAACATAAGCATTGACTTTGACTATATTTGTACAACAGAATTTTTCTCGGTATGGACATATATAATTATATACGATTACACACACATGCACATACATAGGGTCATATAGAGACAAAATTCATACATGTAATTATTTTTTCCCGAGTAGTGCAAAATACGAAACTACATTATATCCAACATCCTCTTGAGGAATGAATTTCTGTTTTAAAAGAAAAACAAACAACAAACATCGCGCTGCGTTAACGTTACACGTGATCGTAAATATTCCTCTCAAACGTGCGAACGAATACTGACGACGCAACGTTTGGACGCGGTAGCATCAGAAGGAGTTCACAGAATCACGGTTGCTGCTGCTGCTACTGCGGCGGAGGACTCGTCGCGGAGCCGAATGAATCATGTGCGCCGGAGCCTACTAGGTGCGACAGTGGTGTCAAGGCAGCTGCTCGCACCGCGATCACGGCAGCGTGCACCGTCGTGCCGGCACCGCGTTGCTGTTGTCGTTGCGCCCAAGGGTGTCGTCGAGCGGTCTGCAAGAAAGCAGCCACCAGGTGCGGCGAGGTGATGCCAGCGTGCACGACAGGTGCTCGAAGTTGCGGCGGCGGTGGGTGTTGCGGCGGCGGGTGTCGCGGCGGCTGCGGGAAACCCGGTCAGATCTGCATGCCGTCGTCGCGAGTCTGCAGCTCACCGGCTCGGGGCCGACCTCGATCCTCGCGCGGGAGGTCGCCTTGCGCGCGGCCCCGCTGTCCCGCGCGGTCACCCTGTCCCCCGGCGGATTACGCGACGACGAGCGGATGTTCGTCGGGTTGCGGAAGTTGTCACTGCTGCGGCGGCGGAGGCTACGAATGCGGAAGGTGTGGACCGCAAGTTTCTGCACGGAGTACCTCGGAACCATTCGAGATGTTCTATCTTTCTCTTCCTATTTTCTTTTCCATCGACTTGTGGTCGATTTAATTAGTTTCTTCTAATAAGTGTTATCGCCTGATGCCCTCAAATGAAGGCAGATATATTTAGAACTATAATTAACATCTTTGTTTGACATATCTCTCAGCTCCCAATATATTTGGGGAGCTTATCCTCGAATATAATAATAATCTTATTATTATATTTTGTCCATCCGATAAGTCATTAATGTACACACTTCTTGATTTCATTGCCAATTGATCCTTGATGATGCTAAATGAATGCTTTTGTAAAATGAATGTTCTCAATTTATTTATCAAAGTTTATCTTCATATTAAATATGATTTTGGATAATCGAAGAAGTAGATTCCGATGACTCTGACGCCGTGATACAACGATGTTTCGCGTGGATTATTTTCAACGTTAAAAAGAGTAGCAATGAATGAAAGTTTGTAGTTAATTGTTTTCAAGTTATTAATGAAGGTAGAGAAAATCAATTTTTTTTGAAATGTTATAATTTGATATTGATAGTTAATACAGTATTTATCTAAATAGTCTTCTCAAGGAAAAATGATTATATATAATTATGGAGAAAAAAATTATATATAATTATATATATTATATATAAAATTCTTTTATATGATCACATATGATTATTTTTTCTCAAGTTATATCAATGTTAGTCGAAGCTAATTTTAATCTCGAAGAATCTTGTAATACAATATTTTTATCAACTTAATGTACCATTACATATATTAGAGTCAAAGTTTCTTATTCACGGAGGATAGGTTTCGTTAAAATATCGCGAATATGGAAAATGCGAATATGAAATGGTATAGGACATGCGTTTCAAAAAAATTGAAAATTAAGGAAAATGTTATTAAAAAACGTGATTTTATTTTAAATTAATAATCAAGCATATGATTAATACTCTATGATTGCATAATATTTTCTGAGATTTATACGTTATTAAAATTGCAACATATTATTAATTAAATATTATTGGATGTTTGATCAGAAATTAATTTAAAAAATTTGATAATTTTTTCTTGGTTTGTGGCACTTTGCAGGCTTCTGTAAATTCAGCCTTTGGTTTTCTTCTTTCTTTTAAAAACCAAACTTTTCTCCATTGAGTCAATTTTCATAAAAAATTCATAAAGATTATTTGAAAGTCTTATTCTATCACTAAGGTTTTCCAAGTTTAGTATCAGATTTTCTGTACTCAACGTAGGTCCTTTTCAATCCAAACTTCAGGAGAAAGCATTTTTTTTACATCAGCTTCATTGATATTTAAATTTATATATATATATATATATATATATATATATAATAGCATTAGAATACATAGAATTGAAATTTTAACCGCAAATACAAAATTTTCACGAATAAAAAGAATGGTTACAAATTTTTACTTTGCGAGTACGCGAGAACGCGAATAGTAAACTCACGAATAAGGAGCTTTACATATAGTTATAACATCTGCAATAATTAGAACACAGCTGTAAATCGCTATACAAATTGGTAGACTACGTGATGTGTTTGTTTATGCGTCGCAGCGCGCGCGTCCAACTGGCGAAAGTCGGTCGCTAGGCGTCGAAGAGTCAACTCGATTCGCGCTGTACATATATATATATATATATTCTCCCTACAATATACAGTATTCTCCCTTTTTGATATTAGCAGAACTATTTCACTTATAATAATCGTGCGGAGCGCGATCCAGTGTCGGTTTAGCCAACACTGCTTTATATATCAATATCCGTTATTTCACGGAAACATTAATCGGCTAAAAAATAACTCGATATTTTTTAGCAAAGCCGATTTTGAAACTTTCAAGAGTAAGCTTCTGTTTAGTTGAATTTTAATTCAGCTTAGGTTAATTTAAGAGTAGGCTTCTGTTTAGTTGAATTTTAATTCAGCTTAGGTTAATTCAGTTTCAGCCACTGACTTATTTCAGTTTAGTTTAATGCGATTATCTGTTCTCTCAATTTTCACGGAGTTACAAAACATAGTAATATTCATAACCTACAGATTAAAAGTTACCGCGACTCGTTACCTCTCTCCTTCCAGCATCATTCTTTGCTTTCGAGTAGAATGATCGCCAATAAAGCTTGATCTATAATATGTTCTTTGCTTCTTATTTCTTTCTCCTTATCTCTTCCCGACTCAAACGTTAAGTCTTAACCCAGATAGCACAGAGAATTCAAAAAGAATTCAGTCGTATGTCATCAATTCTGAGTTTATTTTTAGATGCAAAAAGAATTCTTCAGAGTTCAGTTCAGTTCAGTGAAAAGAATTTTTTTTGCATCTAAAAATGAACTCAGAATTGGTGACATACGACAGAATTCTTTTTGAATTTTCTGTGCTATCTGGGAAGCTAGAAAAAGACAGAGAACAAGAAATAGTAAGTAAAGAGCACATTAGTAAGTTAGATTTAATATTTGGAAACGCATTACAACGTCAAAGTTGTCGGAGAATCGTGGCCGGAAAAACGTCAGAAATAATATAATTATTAGTTCATTTTTTTTTGTTTTTTATTTAGTTAAAATGATACGTCGAGAGTATTCAAAGAGCGCTCGACACTGTGCTTCGGTTGCGCTAAGATAATTTTGATTTGTCGCAAACAGCTCGAGATGCCGGTCCATCCTCGGTAGCGGATGCTGCGCTAACGATAGGACAAAATGCGGTGCTGATGGAGCCTGTTGCCGACAGAAACTGCCGGTGAGCTGCGAGTGCTTCGGTGGCGGTCTCGACTGTCGACGATGCGGGAGGAAGGTCTACCAGGCTGAGATGCAAGTGAGTACAAATCTCGAATGCTATAGAATAATTCATGGCGCCGTCCCCTGAGAGACGTACATATTATATAATATCGTTATAATGTCTCCAATAATTGAAACGTATAGGTCACTTACCCAGTAATTTAGTGAGTATTTACCCAGTAAGCAAGGAACATTAAATTAACGTTTAGAAACGTTGACTTCATGTGTATTGTTTGGACATTTTTTTAATAATATTGCATTTATATTTTTCACATATTATTTTGTGATATGATTTTTCTGAATGTTGTTTAAACGTTTTAAAAACATTAAAAAAAATATATTTTTCAAATGTTATTTTAACATTTATTTGAGATCAATGCAACATCTTAAAAATATTTCTGTCGATTAAAACGTTATAGCAACCCTATTTCAACATTATTGGAACTTCCAAATCGCGGTCAAAGTAGTCAGTTCATAATGATGTTTGATACAATATTAAACACTACATATTTGACAATATTACAGGTTCTTCAATATCATTGTAGCAACGTTGTATTAATGATTTCTTGCTTACTGAGTACAAACTTGCAACTTGAACTATGTGTTTATTTACACGTAAGTCGTAGTGCGTCTGAGTGTTGAAAGGCAGTTTTTTAATCAATAAGGTATCTAAATCGAGGAATGCCTTTGAGGCCTCAATCAGTCAAAGTTTTTTTGATTAAAATAATCAGCAAATTATTGATCAAAATTAATCAAACATCATATATGTACACTGTGAGATAAAAAATATCTAAAAAATAAAAAAAATTATATATTCAATGAGTATCGTATTTACTTAAATATAAATTAAAATAAAATAATTGTTATTTAAATAAAGTAATAGAAGAAGAAATTATATATATATATATATATATATATATATATATATATATATATAGCATATATTAAGAATATATTTAAATATATTCTAAAATAATAACACCTAAAATAATACAATAATTTAAGAATAATTTAATTTAAATAAAATAACTTCTTTTCTCAGTCCTAGCGTTCAGTCGTCTCAACATTTTTCCGAGTTTATAATCTCCTTATGCTTGAAGTGTGTAAAATATATCCAGTATGTTAGACTATTGATTAATGCATGGGAAATTCATTTATCTTGGCATTTTTTGAAGTCTTATAGTTGGCTACAAAACAAAAAAAATTAAAAATTGTAAAAAAATTAATTTTTGTATCTAAGTGTTTTTACCCTAAAGTTAAAAGAGGAACCTAATATTTTTATAAAATTTTGAAATAGTTTGCTTTAGAAGGAAGATAAGCAATTGTTTTCATAAAAAATTAAGGTTTTAAGAAAATGTATTTTGTTATTTGAAAAATATTTTACATATAAGTAAATACGTTATTAATAAATAATTAGTAATTAATTAATATGTAATTAATTAGTAATTAATCAATATTTTTTATTTCTTAGATTTTCTTCTCTCTCTTCATTGTAATCACGAATAATTTAATCGATAGACGAAATCAATTATTAATCAGTGTATATATAATTAATCATATCAAGTTTTGATTAATTATTAATTTCATTAATCGATAAAATTATTTGTGATGTTACATGTGACGATTGATTAATTTTTATTATTGATTTATCGATTATTTCGGTCAAAGAAAAATTTAATCGACTAACGCCCGACACTGTCGTGGGGCGTACAAAACGAACACAGAAAGAGAAATGATATTGTTATCGCATTATGATACATTTATTTCGAATGCAGTGTAACGAGACAACTAAAATTGAAATTGAACCATGTGAAACAGAGAGCGGAAAAAATGTCCAGGAATCGTGTTAAAAATATTTACGCATATTTTACTAAGGGGTGATCGTGTTTCTTTTTAAGATTGCCTCTGGAGCGCCGTATCATAACATTTGCTTCAGTTGCTTTTGTTGCCGCAAGCCTTTGGAATCGTTGACTTATCAGGAAAACTGTGGCGAGATATATTGCAAACGTTAGTACCACCATATAAACAACAAATATATAAACAAACACACATAACGCTTCGCGCTGTGTTTTTAACGAGGATCATCTCATCCCGTCTCTTTCTCTCATTAAGTTCTCCGTCCTTTTTTTAAACATCACAAGTACCATTCGTACACAGAGAAAAATATCATTTTACTGCAAAGAAAAGCGATCTCTCAGTTTGCTTTTCTTTATTTAAGTAATGGTTACCTTCGATAAAGAATTTTCCTGATAACAGTCTTAAAATATACTCATCGCAAATTTTACAAAAGCTCATTTTATCATGTATTCAAAAGAAGAATTTATTCTCCTTGCAAAAATATTATAAAACTCTATCTAAAAGTTTGATTCTATGTAAGTAATCCAAATTATTGTTTCAGTTTAATATTCTTCATTAAAATGCTAAACTTATTAGAATTCAAAAGGTATTTTGAACAAATTTAATTCTTATAATGTTTATGATAGATTTGCGGGCATATAAACTCATGAAATATTTGAAACAAGTAACATTTACTTGAATGCAGTACATATTTTTCTGTGTGCACATTTAACTCGTCGAATGACAACAATATTCTCTCTGTTAACCCTTTGAGCCATAGTGAGACGCAAGTGTTCTACATATCTTTTCTACATTTTTAGTGATTTTAACTAATTTATCGGTAGACATAGTTAATTATATTATTACACATACATATACCAGGTGTAGAAGTATGAAACCGGAATTTTTTTATACAAATAAGACGTCTGTTGTTCGAAAGTGATAAATAATACTTTATTCAAAATAATTTCCACTGTTTTGAACACATTTTTCCCACCTCTCTGGCAGTTTATGAATGCCGTGCCAAAAAAACTTTTCATCTTTTGAAGCGAACCAGTTATCTAGCCATTTTTCCACATTTTCATACGAATCGAAGCGTTGGTTAGCGAGAGCGTGTCCTAGCGATGCGAACAGGTGATAATCGGACGGAGCCAAGTCTGGAGAATAAGCCGCATGCGGTAGTAATTCCCAACTGAACGACTCGATCGTTTCCTTGACCCGTTTTGCTGTATGTGATGGGGCATTATCATGGAGCAAAATGACATTGTGTTGCCTTTTTGCATATTCTGGTCGTTTTTTAGTCAATGTTCGATTTAAATCGATCATTTGTTGTTGGTAGCGATTAGTATTGACGGTTTGACCAGGTTTCAGCAGTTCATAGTTCATAGTTCATAGTTCATAGTTCTTCGTTCCTCACGTCAAAATCACCACTTTTGAATTTTTTAAACCACTCGAAACACTGAGATTTACCAAGAGCATATTCACCGTAAGCTTCGACAAGCATTCGATGTGATTCTGCAGCAGTTTTCTTTAAATGATAACAGAAAATCAATGCTGTCCGCAAATCATAGTTAGTAGGCTCGAAACGTGACATGTTTAAGGTTATACAAAAATATACTAGAGAATGAAAGTTGGGGTTATGTTTGTTGACAATATTCGTCAGCTGTTAGGAGAATATAATAGCGCGGCAGTAGCGGTCTTACGGTCACTAAACTGAACGCTGGCACCATTTATAGGGGAATTCCGGTTTCATACTTCTACACTTGGTATATACTCTCTTCCTTTTTTTCTCTCTCATAAACATAAAGCACTAAAAATAAGTAAAAATTAATTTGAATGTTTAATTGTTAAATTATTATAAATAAATAAAAAAAGTAAAAAAGGTACTTTTTCAAACAAAAATTATTTTAGGGTTAACTGTTAAAAATCATAATAAAGAATAATGTTTCGATACATCGAAACATTAACAGCTTCTTAAGGACAATTAACAGTATTTTATATATTTTTTTCAAAATTTTTTGCAAGCCATATTTTTCTACAATTAACTATTGAAATATTAATAATATATTTGCTGCAAATTTTTTGTAAAAAATCGCACATATCTTTTTTTCATAGGAAATATTATCGTTATTTCCGAATAATATTAATAGCGAGATTATTAATTTTAAAAAATTATAGTCGTTATATTGTATTCGTTATTTCGAATTTTAACTTTTAGACCACAAATTCGTAATCAGCGACTTCGAAATTTCCCACATGCAAAATTTGAAGGAACTTCACCGAGAAATAAAATGTATGGCTCAGAGGGTTAAGTTAAGCCGATTAATATTATCGATATTAACAGAGTTTCTTCGATAAATCGCGCAGAATGTTACGTGCGTAATTTCGGACCGCAAGGGTACGGTTATGGCGCGGGGGCCGGTGTGCTGCAAACTCCCTTGTGAACTTGACTGCCCGATGTCTTCGTGAAAAGAAATATCCAAGTATAACACGTTTTTATATGTTCTCGTTGATTCTGCTTTTACTGTAGTTATAAAGTTATGCGTAAGGTTTAATGCGCACGTTAGAGATCGGCTTTCGCGGAGCCGTGACATTTTGTACGACGACGTTTTGTGTTTACACGGTGTTTGATATAAGCGTTTTTTCTCGAATAAATTTTTCTGACTAGATATTCAGTAGTGTTATTAATCGCGCTGTTAGACTCGATTACTCGGTCACCGACAAAAGGAGGAAGACACAATAAAGTGATCAGGCGCGCAAACGCGGAGCGAATTAAACGAAAAAACGATAGTGGGAAACGGGAAAATATTCGCGACATAGAAGAAAAGAATTGAAGAATTTGGTCGGACCTTGCGTGAGAGGGAAAAGGAGTAATACATTTAGCTTATGGAATCTCTATTCGCACCGATTTGTCGGGGACACACTGAAAAAAGGATCAACCAAATATTTGGTGATTAACCAAAAAATTTAATAAAAAATTTTGTTTTACTTTCTCAGTAATATATTTATTTAGTCACTAAGCAAAGTAAAATAGCAGCAATTAAATTTCTTGATTACAATCATCAAACATTTAGTTGATTCCATTTTAACCAAATTTTGGCTTCAATGACCAAATCCGTTTTTCAGTTTTCGAAACAAGTTTCAGTAAATCGAAACAAAGTACAGACGGCGAAAAGAGAATCGCAAATTGCAGGCAAGAGAACTGCTAGAAAAATGGAAAGAGATTCGTAGAACATATGGAAAAAAGGATTTTATTGTCGAAACGAAAGTTGAGTAATAATAATTAAAATAATTTGGAAAATAATTTGGTTAAAATAGGATTAACCAAATGTTTGATAATGTTTGGTAAAAATTTGGTTGTGCCAATTTCAATGAATTTGTGTGTTTTGCTTTCTCAGTAATATATGTATTTGACAAGTAAAAACATGATAATGTCAACCAAATCGTATATACAAATATTTTAGTTTCAAATATAAAAATAATTTTTTCAATGAAGGAAGATGGATGACGGGCTGAAAACTATATTGAGAAAAATATTTTAAAAATATCTTAAAAAAAATATCGCAAAAAATATTTACTTGGTTCTAATAACATATTTATTTAAATCTAAATTCTTTCAGTTAAGTGGAACGAACAATTGCTTTTTTTATAAAAAGCTAAGGTTTTCTTAAGATTATAAGAGAATGTATATTTTCTTATCTGTAAAAAATATTTTATATTATACGGGGAGAAAAGTTTGGTTGGAGTGGCCAAATTTCTGGTGAAATGCAAACGAACCAGAAATTTCGATTGAACCTATTCTGTTCAAATTAACGAGACTTCCGGTTAACTTGAACAAAATTTCGGCAACTTCAACTAGAATTTTTTCTGGTTCATTCATATTTCGCCAAAAATTTGGTTAATTCAAGCAAAACATCTTTTCTTGTGTAGTATAAGTAAATATTATATTAGTATGTACCCACCAAATATTTATTATTTCATAGATATTTCTCTCTCAGTGTAAGCGCGCGTGAGAATGCGATTGGGTTCGCAAAACGCGAAATGAGGAAAAAATGAGAGAAAGAGGAAGAGAGAGAGAGAGAGCGCAGTCGCGGTTTATTACTTTCGCTGGTCGGGAGGACGACAGATTTTGGAATGACCGTCGAGGGGCGATCGAGATAAATCGGACATACGAAAGAGAGAGAAAGAGATAACGGGGGAGGGAATGTGCGGAGTCGGAAAGAGCGTTACGCATTCAAGGCAGGAAAAGTGGAAACCGAAAGAGATTCGCGATTTGTAGGAGGAAGGTGGAACGAGGACGGTGGCGGCGGCGCCGCCACCACTTTCGGAAAGAGTGAGAGAGTGAGAGCGAGCAAGCGAGCGAGAGAAAGAGAGGAGATGAGGGTATATGAGGGAGGAGAGCGGCATTTCGTTCGGGTTTGCAAAACAGAGAACGAGGAAGACGAAGGAGGAAAGAGTGAGTGGTTGGTTTATTGAGTCTCTCCGCCGCCGGTGGATTGCGGAAGGCGCGCGGCAGCAGGAGGGCGGTCGGGGCGACGAGGGTGAGGGAGGTAGTTGGGCGAGGAAGAGGAGGTGGTGGAAAAGCAGGAGCAGGGGGGAAGGGGGAGCGGGCGTTTATATAGCTTTCAGGCGCAGAAGCTTAATCTAATTTCAAATATAAATCTGTTCTCTCCGTGCGCGCGCGCGTCCCTCTCTTTCTCTTCTCTCGCTCTCTTCTCCCATCTGCTGCGCCCTTTCTATCCGTGCAGCACGGCGCGCGCTTTCGCCGGCTTACATTATACCCGTTCGGCTACGAATAATGTTTTTCGCTTTTCCCATTAACGTTACGAGACACGACGGCACGACGGTTCTGTGCGCAACACTCAACGACGAGAGGGTCCGTCCGTCCGTCCATCCGTCCGTCGCGCGTCGCGTCTTCGTTGATGTTTATGATTAGGAGAGAGCCTCTGGACACCCCAGAGGAGGGAAGAGATCGCACGGGTGTTTCGTTTTTCCTCTTTTTCGTTTAATTTGCGAATTGGGTTGGGAAAGGCCGATGTGGGAAGATTTCGACAAATTATTCGTTCAATTTATGCGCACGAAGAATATTACTTTTTTTTCTTTTCATATAAACTCTTTTCTCTTTTAATAAGCTTCTAGTAGTGCACAAATAGACTGTCAATAAAGTCGATCTTGTTAAGAGGTATAGTAAATTTCGTTAGGATCATAGCAGATTTTTTAAGGATGTATTAATCGTAAAAGTAAAGAAAGAAACAATATTTCTGGGGTCACCTTAGTATAAGCTGTACGTATTCTTCGTTTTAAATCTTCTTTCGTCGTACGTGGTTCAGATGTGACTTCCTCTTTGATATACCCCCGTAAAAAATAGTCCAAAAGTGTAAGATCAGGTGAACAAGAGGGTCATTGAACAGGACCTCCCCGAAAAGCTAAAAGTTTAAATGTTTATAACTTTTGATAGGAACATTTTCCAAAGAAATGTTTTAGACAAAGTTTACTTGTTTTTTTCTATAGAATCCAAATATGTAACATTGTATAGAGGGTCCCATTTGAACTTTGAAGTTACCCCTTGCCCCTCTTCAAGAGGGGACGGAAGTGGATTTTTGTTTACGTAGTTAAAAAGGCCCCTCGAATATATGAAACTTTCTCATGAGCAACTTTTTGATAAGACAAATATGTTTAGAATTATTAGCTTGTAACACTTTACATGGCCCACCATTTTACATGTATATACACATACATGTATATATATATGTATATACGTGTGTACACACGTACACATACACGCATACCATGTGTTTTTGTATGAAAAATAAAATATTAGCGTATTTCCAATTTTTCGTTACTTTCTGCAATATCATACGGGTAATATATTCTTAACAGCATTAATAGCTCTTGAAATATAAGTGACACATACGAAATGAAAGGATAATTAGTTACTGAATATCGATCTATCGCTCGGCTACAAAATTCTACAATAATTTTTCCTACAAAATTCTCTCAGCGTAAAATTACGCATTACATGTCAAATGTACTTTTCATAAAATGTACAGATGGCATGTTCGACGCACGAGCCGCGATTCGTCCGGGCGGTTCTTTCCGAGACGAGCCGCGCTCATTTATTTGCGAATTTCTCCCCGCATTATTCCAAGCCATATCGGGCGATAAGGGCCTTCCTGTGGGATTTGTTCGACCTAACTTTTTAATGTCTCTCTCCCACCCTCACTGTTCCTCCGAGAACTGAAAAAACGCGCCGACGTGTTAATCGCACGCGACAGAATCTCTCTGAGGCGAATTCGTGCGAATTTCGTCGGAGCTTGCTCGCGTAGAGACACGACGGGACGCACTGACAGAAGGGGAGAGGAGGGATTGTCCGTCCGTCGAATATTTACACTACAAGCCGCGGAACAATTTCCGATTTTTCGTGGAGCGAGAGAGAGAGAGAGAGAAAGAGAGAGAGAGAGAGAGAGAGAGAGCGACGCCGCGCGCCGTCGCTGGAACTCCACGCGATTCACCAATGTAAACCCGCGTATTTAAATTGGCCCCCGGGGGCAGGGGACCCACGGACGGTTACGAATTTAAAAACGCTAGCTGCAATTTCCTTTTTTCCCCACCAGCGCGCGGCGACGCACCGCGCCGTATCGCGCTGCGCTGCATATCCGCGTTGCATCGCGCCCGATGTGTGGTGCGGCGCGGCGCGGCGCGGCGCGACACGACGCGATGCGATGCGATGCAACGGCTCCGACGAAATCGGCAAAATATCTCTTTACGTTTGACGGCCGCCGATTCGGGCCGCTCGGTCCCGGGTCCTTTTGTGCCGCGGCGCTTATTTCGAACGGTATGAAAATCAATTATTTCGTTAATTCGTGCGTTACATTGGCTGTCACGGGGCCATCACTGTGAGCGACAGCGGCCCAAGGCGCTATTTTTCAATTCCCGATGTCGCCCCCGCCTTTTCGAACGTATTTCCGTCCCGCTCTCTCTCTCTCTCTCCCTCTCTCTCTCTCTCTCTCTCTCTCTCTCTCTCTGTCTCTCCTCCCTGTTCCCTTCTTCTCTCACTCTCTCTCTCTCTCTTTCCCTCCCTCCGTCCTTTTCTCTCTCTTTCTCTTTCATTCACTCATTCACTCACTCTCCGTCTGTCTCTTTCTCCCGCTCGCTCTGCCGCCGACTATTCCGCGTCGGCTTTATGTCCCTATGATCGCTCGATGCCGAGTCCAGCGTTCGGAAGCGCTCTCGGGATTTCAAATCTGTTTAATTCGCCGTAGGCCGGCTGTCCGAGGGAAGTTTCACGAGAAAGAAATTGCGAATCGCTCCGACGAAGCTCGACAACTACGAGATTCACGAAATGAAGTTACGCGCGGATCTATGCGCTCTCGATCTATGAGAACACTCGGCGCGTTTTTGGGAAGAAATTCGCTTCTGAGGATTTTCGACACTCTTGTATTTTCTGCGTATTTCCTTCGTGTCGCGAAATTAGCGTGAAACGTACGCCTCGAAACGTACGCGCTGCGCGCGCTACACAACGCGCGACAAGTATGTAGTTCATTCTTAAAACGAAAGAAAAAAGAACGCCGCGCGCGTAACGCACTGTCTTCGCTCGCGCGACGCAATTTCGCGTGACGCAATTTTTCCGGGTCCGACATTTTGCGCGCTTAACCGGACTAACCGGTATTTTTAAACGTACCGGCGTAACGCCGTTCCATATGCAAAAGTTACTTTAATTTATTGCAATGCATCTGACTGCTCCTAATTAACGTACAGCGCGAATAAAACGGTACGGTTGATGCGTGATATGAGTTCCAGTCTACATCGTTCTGCGAGTGTATAATTAATTACCAACATTTGGACACGCGCGTAACAGCAATGAAATCGCAGCAACGATTCGCGATGGTATAACGTTGAAATTAATATCGTCTCATTTGTCAAAACCCGATACGTCTTTCGGCGTTCTATAGCGGAGTGCGCGCGCGCGCGCGCGCGTGTGTGTGTGTGTGTGTGTGTGTGTGAGAGAGAGAGGCGGATAAAACGAGAACGAGAGACAGAGTGCTTTTAGGGGAGAGCGCGAACAAATGTCGGACCCCAAAACGGGTCCCAAACATTGTCACAACATACCTACGTGTAACAGGGCGATTCTTCGACGACGCGTTAAAAGCGACGATATTAATAGCGCGTTATGAATTAGCCATTTTTGTGCGGAGCAGCAGGTAGGCCCG